AGGTCACAATCCAGAATAAGTATCACATCCCTAGGATTGATTACTTATTCGACCAATTTCAGGGTGCCAGTTTCTTTTCAAAGATAGACCTCAGATCAGGCCATCATCAGATAAGAGTTAGAAAATGTGATATTTCAAATATAGCCTTCAGGACTTGGTATGATCACTATGAATTTCTAATTATATCTTTTAGACTAACGAATGCTCATGTAGCTTTCATAAATTTGATGAACATGGTGTTCAAATAGTATTTAGATATATTCGTCATTATTTTCATATGTGACATTTTGATCTATTTGTAACACCTCAGAAATTTTTTGAGCTAAGACTCGAATCGTTCTTCGTAGTGAGTGAGATTTTTGCAAGGAATTTAAAATTTCTTGAGTGTTAAGGTCCCTATATGTAGAACCTTAAGTTCCAAGAAGAACTTAAGAGAGTTCATTCAAGTCATTCCTAAGTTTTCTTAAGTTTTGGGTCAACTTCAAATGACCATAACTCCTAGTACAAGATGAGTTAGGTGAGCTACAATATAGAAAATTAAATCCCTTAGAGTCCTCTTTCCAACGCCACCAAGTTTTCTCAATTCCGAGCTCTGAGTAAAATGTTATGACTGATTTGCTTGCTAACGACACGCAAACCTGGCAGCAGCTCCGCGATGGCTCCTCGACGCTGAGCCAATACGGACCTCACTGCCTGGTGAAAATGATTTCGACTCCCAGCTCATTTTATTTATTTATTTAAGGGTATTTTAGTCCTAAAAACCCTTAGGAGGTCATCTAACTTGCCCTAAACGTGTAGAAAATCAGTTTTTCATAAATCAAACCCTCCCATCCACTCCAAAAGATTCTACGCTCAAGAAAATCAAGAAACGCTAAGGCTAAGTTCATCTTCCCAGATTTTCCTTCAAGTTCTTCAAGAAGATGATTCTTTCAGGTATGTAAGCTTCCATAGTGTTGGGTTTGTTCACCCTCATGCCAATCATATTTAATTCTATCCTTGAATTCATTTTTGAGATTGAATTATTAAGTTCTTGAGAAGTTCTTGAGTTTTAGCCATTATTGAATGTCTTTGAGTTCTTGAGGTTTGAGTTTTGCAAACGAGTTGAATTCCTTGATAGATTTTATATGGGTTTCATTGAAATTGTTCTGGGTTTCTGAATTTTTGTGAACTTGGTCGATAAAACTACTTTGAGTGAGAATTGAGTCGAGTTTGGGAGAGGAAGAAACGATCGGGCAGATAATTACACTTAGGTCTGCGTCGCGGAGGCGCTTAAGTTTTCAGCATCTAGTCGGTCACCCCCTTTCCGCGTCGCAGAGAGGATACGGAGTCCTCTGCCATATTTTAGCGATCAACAATTTAATTCCATCTCCGCGTCGCGCCAGTGTTCTTTAATTTGGGTCTTTGCCTGTTTTTGTGATCAACTATCTTAGCCCTCCTAAATCATTGAGAGGTCCTACATTCCAAAGCATAACCCTTGAATCCATAATTCAAATTCTAGGTAGAGTTAAAAGTTAAGTCTTGAGAGTTCTCTCAAACATTCTTTTGGGAAAGTCCCTTTGAGTCCTTTGAGGAGTCTTCTACAACTTCTAATAACTTGTTTCAAGACTCTAGTAAGTGAGCATGAGAGTGAGGAGAATGTATTCATGAGTCTACACTATCACCTAGATCCTTCATATCATGAACCATAACTCTTGAATTCATAATTCACATTCAAGAGAGAGCTAAAAGTAGAGTTCAAGAAAGTCTTTGAGTTCAATTGTGAATCCTTTGAGATCCACCATCGATTTGAGTTAAGTTTTGAGAAGTAAGTATGATAATGAGAAGATTCGTATACCTGAGTTACTTATTGATATTTTGACCCTTGAGTCAAGTCGTTCATGCCCATAACTTCCGCATGAATTCCATCAGTTTAGTATCTTTGAAAGAAGTAGTATCTTCGAGTTCTAAGTCTTGAGTATCAAGTTCCTAACCCTTCCAAGATTATAATCCTAATCATGGGACTATTACCTATTACCCATGAAGTCCATGAGCTGAGTTGTTCATGCCCATAATTCCGCATGAACATTATAAGTCAAAAAATCTTGAGATGAGACGTATCTTTGAGTCCTTGAGTTGAGTAGTTCATGCTTATAATTTCGCATGAACCCTCTGAGTTGAGCATTCTTGAAATGAGTAGTATTAGTGAAGTTCTTAAGTTCCAAGTATTGAGATCTATCTATGGTTATTGAAAACCTGGCATTGAGTCATTCATGTCCATAATTCGGCATGAACCATATTTTATGAAGTCTTTTACAAATGTTTTAACTTTGTTTTAAGACTTAGGTTTTGAGTTCAGTAAAGATAAAGTTGAAGTTCATTTCTTCAAAGGTATATGGGGACTATGTATTCCCAAAAGAGTTTAAAATGTTTTCACATTTAAATAAGAACGGAAAACTAAGATTTTCAAAAGAGCCTTTGAGCTAGTGTTTCAGTAAAGAGTCTTTGAGCTAGTTTTTCAGTAAAGAGCCTTTGGGCTAGTTTTCAGTTAAAGAGTAAATGCTTTCACAATAAAGCAAGAGAGGAAACCTTGATTTCCAAGATAGCCTTTGAGCTAAGTTTTTGAGCAATTATCTCAAATCATAGAAAGAAGTATGTTTTAAACATAAATAGCTAGTATCATATTTTGGGAGTAGTATTGAGTACCGTTATGGGGATGAGCTTGAGTTCAGATAAAACTCGTCTGCATAAACCATGTAGCCATCATGGGTAGAAAAGGGTCATACTTTTTAGATGAATCTTTTTCGCATAGACTAGTGGATCCACTTAGTACAAGTCCTATACTTGTGGCAAGGTATAGGATGCGCTGGCAGCGTGAGGGAGATTGTTGTGTCATCATAATAGCTCTTATGTGATTGTTGTCGATTAGAGATACTCCCACAGCAGTACTTTGTATTTTTATATACATCAGTTTATTTGTATTTTTACATACATCTCAGAGTTATTTGTATCTTTGCATACACATAGAGTTGACATCATGTTTTAAAAAGTTTTTCTTTAGATTGCACTTGTTTTAAACTGCTTTATATTGAAATGAGTTCAGTTATGTTGAGTTGAGTTGATCCAGGTAAGTTCTTTAGTCCTTTTCAGATTCTTTTCAAGCTTATGTTTATGCTTTAGAATTCCTCTTACATGCTCGTACATTCCACATACTGAACCATTTGGCATGCATTTTCTCATGATGCAGACACAGGTATTCAGGATCATCAACAGGAGATTCGTTGATACATCCGGGAGTTCGAGTTAGCTATGGTGAGCCTCCTTGTTTCTGGAGGATTTCATTTACTTTTCAGTTTAGTCAGGATGTCGTGGGTCTTGTCCCGACTTCCATATTTATCAGTTAGAGGCTTCATAGATAGTCAGTATAGTTGAGAAGTCTGTATTATTCATTTATTTTATTAAATGTTTTAAAGACTTAAGTTGCCTATTTTATGGCGAGTTGAATAACTTATTTTATTCCGAGTTTTCTTTTGAGTTAAAGCTTTATATTTAAGTTTCATGAATTTTATTCAATTTTTAAGCTTTTGCATATTTGAGTTAGTCTTCCGCTTGTAGTCAGCCAGGATGAGGGTTCACTTGGGGACCAACAATGATCTTCGAGTGCCGGCCACGTCCAGGGTGTAGACTCGGGTCGTGACACTATTCTCAGAGTGAGGATGAGCATGCAGGCCATTTGAGGATTGTCTTAGATATTCTTAAGGACAATCAGTTGTTTGATATGTTTAGTAAGTGTAAATTTTGGTTGAGGTATGTAGCCTTCCTTCGCCATATAGTTTCGAGAGAGGGAATTCAATTTGATACTAAAAATACAGAAGCAGTTAAGAATTGTCCTAGATCTCTTTCTCCATCAGAGGTATTCGGAGTTTCTTGGGTTTAGTTGGTTATTATAGACAGTTTGTTGAAGGATTTTCTTTTATCAGTTTTCCTTTGACTAGTTTGACTCAAAATAAAGTGAAATTCCAATGGTTCAAAGCTTATGAGAAGAGTTTTTAGGAGTTGAAGACTCAACTTACTTCAGCCCCAATTTTGACTCTACTGGAATGTTCAGATGATTTTATGGTGTAGTTGATGCCTCTAGAATTGGCCTAGTTTGTTTATTGATGCAACTTGGTAAATTCATAGTTTATGCTTCTAGGAAACTCAAGGTTCATGAGAAGAACTATATGAATCAGATTTAGAGTTGGCAACGGTGGTGTTTGCCTTGAAGATTTGGAGGCACAATCTTTATGGTATTCATATGGATGTGTTCACCAATCATAAAAGTTTTCAGTAAGTGTTCAAGCACAAGGACTTAAATCTCTGCTAGTGGAGATGGTGCGAGTTGTTAAAATATTATGACATGAGTGTCATTTACCATTCAAGTAAAGCGAATGTAGTTGTAGATACTTTTAGTAGATTTTCCATAAATAGTATTGTTCATATTGAGGATGAGAAAAAGAAGTTAGTTTGTGATGTTCACGGACTTGCTCAATTGGGAGTCTGTTTTGTTGATTCAAAAGATGGTGGAGTTATTTTTCAAAATGGGTGAGAATCATCTCTTGTGTTGGATGTTAAGGCAAAGCAAGGTGATTATCCATCTTTGGTTGAATTGAAGAAAGCAGTTCTTTGAAAAGCTATTGAGGTTCTCCCGAGGGGGAGATGGTGTGCTTCATTATCAAGGTCGGTTATATGATCCAGATGTTGATAGGTTGAGGCAACAGATACTATCAGAAGCTCACAATTTTCTATATTCTATTCATCCAAGAACCACTAAGATGTATCAGGA